ACACACATAGAGAAAGAGACACACAGAGAAAGCTCAGCCCTCCAGAGCAAAAGGACCAGAAGCCATTACCGATAGGAGCCGAGAGGTTTCAACTTCCCATTGAAATAGCCGCATGTGGTTGACTCATTCCCAACATCAATTTCATATTTCAAGACCTCCGACAAGCCCTGAGAAGACTGCCTCTCTTCTGTTGTTATGAGGTATGTCACATAAGTTTCTGAAGAATTGTTTTTGAAATCCTCATACCTATATTTCAAAACATCCACTGTAGGGCGCTCAGCTAAAAAAAAAAAAAAGGCACAGAAAAGGAAAAGTGTAAGAAAGTAATGTCAAGACAGTGGTTAAAAATCAAATACACTAGAAGACACATTGTTAGCTGCCTATAAGTAATGAAGTTGAGAAAAGAGTGGTCTCATCTCTTAAAAATGACAGCAGATAGTCATTCAAGTCCCCAGCTTAAACAATGATACTGAAACTGGGTGATCAGGATAATAGAGACCATCTCTCAAGCTGTTTTTGTGGCTGTGAGTCATATTTAATGTTTACAACAATCTCACCCAAAGGTTTGTGGTTGCTGGTTGGTATTGAGAGAATTCTGACTCACATGCAGAACAGAACTGCTCCTTAGGGTTTTCAAAGCTGGAACCTTCTGGAAGCAAAGAGATCTCCCCATTCCTACATCCTAGGCACCTCCAGGAGGGTAAACCAGTATTTTAGCTAGGCTTTTCTCTGCCCATTTTATAGATGAGGACATGAAGGTATAGCAGGCTAAAGGATCTGCCACATTCACACTGCCTACCTGATAGAGCCTGATCTCTAGCCCCCACCACCTAGCTTGGCCTGTGATCTCAATGACCAAGGCTTCTCACTGGAGTAAATGGAGTGGCGGAGCCCACAAAACAGGGGTCTGACCATTACCCAGCACTGATTCTTTTTGTCTAGTAGAGGTCTAAGCCTAGGAGATGTTGAAAAACATCATAGCAAAATGACAAAGACTTTGAAATGGATCCAAAATAAAAAAGGAAGGAGTGAGAGGTTGCAACATTGCCTTCTGAAATCCTCTGAAGAGTCATGACCCCCAGTCAAGCCCTAATTGGCTAAGGTCCCCAAGTTCCTCATGTCACATGTGATCTTGCCATTGATCAAGACAAGGATGACAGAGAGGTGAGAGACTGGGCACCGGAGACACTGCCTCACTCCTATTTTATTTAGGGAATTTCCAAAAGCCACAAAACTTTGCATTTTAGACCGATGACTTCTGAGAGGCTGCCGTGAAGGATGACCTCCAAGCATTCTCTTCTTAGTGCCAAAGAAAACAATGGAACCCTGGAAGAAGTGGCCGCAAACCACCTGCTCGTTCAGGTTTGGAGGGAGACTTTTTGAAGTTCACATCGATAAACACAAATCTTCTGCTTCCTTTCAAGAAAGTCACTTCCTCTGGTGATGATGGCCCATGTCCAGGTGTGGAAATGTGGGTGTGAGAGAGAGAGAGACAAGGTTGGCGGCGACCAATATTCTGCTACCTATACAATCTTATGTTGTATGTAAACGAAAAGCAAAACAGTTCAGAGGTCAGCAAACTATGGTTCATGGTCAAATGCAAGCTACCACCTGTTTAGGTATGAAAGCTGTATTGGAACACAGCCATCTCTGTTCTTCCTGTACAGTTTATGACAGCATTCAAGATGCCCAGATGGTCGGATTCTAAACTAAAGGTTGGCAATTTGGACATACGCAGAACTGCATAAGAAAGGCCTGGCAATCTGCTTACAAAATGATACAGTTTTGAAACTCCTATGAAGTGTATTTCTACTCTGCACACGTGCAGCTGCTCGGAGTCAGAACTAAACTGACAGCCGGGGGTATGGCTATCTTCATGCTACACTAGCAGACACCATATGGTCTGGAAAATGTAAGACATCTACTGACTTGATTAAGAAATGATAAAGGTGACATCACAACACAACCAGAGGAATTTAAATTGATAATACCTGAATACTATGGAAAGGTATAGTCTGATAAATTCAAAAACCTACAGGAAATGGACAAATTCCTTGAAATGCATCTCCTACCCAGACTGACAAGGACAGATATAGAATATTTGAACAGATCTATCATAAAACAAGAAATTGAAAAGGTCATAAAGAGACTTCCCCATAAGAAAGGCCTGGACCAGATGGTTTCACAGCTAAATTCTACCAAACATTCAGAAAGGCTTTAACACCAGTTCTACTTAAATTATTTTTTTTTAAATTGAAAAAGAAGGAACACTTCCAGAATCATTCTATGAAGCAAGCATAACTCTAATACCAAAACCAAGCAAAGATACTACCAAGAAAGAAAACTACAGACCAATATATCTCATTAATATAGATGCAAAAATTCTTAACAAACTCCTAGCCAACAGAATCCAAAAGCACATCAAAAAATAACTCACCATGACAAAGTGGGATTCGTAACAGGTATATAAGGATGGTCCAACATAAGAAAAAGAATCAATGTAATTCACAATATTAACAAAGTAAATAACAAGAACAATAAGATCTTAGCAACTGATGCAAAAAAGTCATTTGACAAAATACAGCATCCCTTCCTGATAAAGACATTCAGCAAAACTGGAATAGAAGGGAATTTCCTCAACATAGTGAAAAGTATACATGCAAAACCAAAAGCCAACATTATTCTCAATGAAAAAAAGACTTAAATATTTTTCCTTGTGAACAGGACCAGACAAGAATATCTACTGTCACCACTTCTATTCAATATTGTATTGGAAGTGCTTGCTAGGGCAATATGACAGGAGAAAGAAATAAAAGGCATCCAGATTGGCAAAGAGATAGTTAAACTGTCACTATATCCAGATGATATTACAGTGTACACAGAAAACCCCCAAGACTCAACAAAAAAAACAAACAAACAAAAAAAAAAACCAACCTGTTGGAGTAAGGAGGCCAGTTTAGTAGAAGGACAGGACATAAGATCAATATCCAAAAATCAGTAGGATTCCTCTACAGTAACAAAGAGAACTCAAAGAAGAAAATCAAGAAAGCAATGCCATTTACAATAGCCAACCATAAATTGAGATACTTGGTAGTGAATTTAACTGGAGATACAAAAGCCCTAAACAAAGAAAACTACAGAACATTTCTATAAGACACAATAAAAAACTTAAATGGGAAAATGCGCCCTGTTTATAGGAAGACTCAATATCATGAAAATGATAATCCTACCAAAAGCAATCTAAATGTTCAATGCAATCCCAATCTAGATACCAAATTCATTTTTCAAGGAGATTGAAAGGAAAATTGTCAAATTTATTTGAAGAAGCAAGAGACCCCGAATAAGCAGAACACTTCTGAGAAACAAAAATGTAGTGGGAGGCATAGCAGTCCCTGACCTCAAAACCTACTACACAGCACTGGTAACCAAAACAGCATGGTACTGGTACAATGACAGGCACATAGATCAATGCAACAGAATTGAGAACCCAGAAATAGACCCAGCTATCAATGGCCAACTGATATTCAACAAGGAAATCAAGGCTATCAAAAGGAGAAATGATAACCTCTTCAACAAATGGTGCTGGCAAAACTGGACTTTCACCTGCAGAAAGAAAAGGATCCACATCTCACACTATACATAAAAATCAACTCAAGGTGGATCAGAGACCTGAGAGTAAAGCCCAAAACCATAACATTCATAAGAGACAAACAGATCAAGCTTAGAAGTGCCAGTCCAAGGTATAAAAAGACTGACAAATACAGCAAGAAATGTACAATCTGAAGAGAATAACATTAATGAATGGGACTTTCTAAAGATTAAATCCATGTGTGCATCAAAAGCTTTTTTCTAACAGGGTGAAAAGAAAATCTACTGACTGGGAATAAACATTTGGTAATACCATCTCAGACAAGAGTCTTAAAATTTTACAGAATACTTCTGGGCCTCCACAAGAAAAAGACTGATAAGCCAATTACAAAATGGGCAAAAGACATGGAAAGAATTTTCACAGAGGAAGATCTTTGAATGGAAAACAGACACAAGAAGAAATGCTCAAAATCACTAGTAATAACAGAGATGCAAATCCAAACCACAATGAAGTACCATTTCACTCCAGTAACAGTGGCAAACTTTAACAGGGCAGCAAGTAGTAAATGCTGGAGAGGATGTGGTGAGAAAGGAACTCTTACACATTGATGGTGGGATTGCAAAAACCATTCTGGAAAGCAGTTTGGCGCTTCCTCAAAAATCTGGACATAGAAATTACATATGATCCAGTTATTCCACTGCTTGGAATATATCCTGAGAAAATCAGAACTGAGGCACAAACAGAGACTTGTACACTAATGGTCATAGTAGCATTATTCACTATCGCAAGATGTTCAACCACAATCGAATGGATTGAGAAATTATAATACATTCATACAGCGGAATACTACACAGCATGCAGGAGCAATAATTTTGAAATTATCTAACTGAGTGAACTAACTCAGTCCCACAAGGATAAATATTGCATAAAACCATTAATGTAGAATGAGGATGAGAATCCAAGGCAGGGGCCGGGGAAGGTGGAAGTAGAGGGATAAGAATATGAAGGGGGTGGGGGGATTAATCATGAGGTTGTACAATATGATGGGTTGAGGGTGAAGGAAATTAGAAGAATCCGGTCTGGAAAACAATGTATTCAAATTTTGTAATAAACTAGTGTAATAATAATAATAATAAATCTACTATCTAATCCCTTAAACTATGCCTAATTAGAGCATCAGGCAAATAGGTTACCCTCTCCAGGACTGAGAGCCAAAATCTGTGTGTAGTTTACAGTGTAAAAAAGATAATTGCATTTTTTCCATCAACGTGCCTCAGTGAGCACAGACGTGGCAGCCAGGCGACACCATCACCCGTTGGTTTCATGTGACGACCGCTCTTACCTTTCCCAGTGGTGAGAATGAGCGCATAGGCTTTGATGGGTCCATGGCTAGATTCAAACCCACTGAACTTGACCTTTACTGAGTTGTGACTGATAGATGTGATATTAGGGGATCCATTTGGAGGAGGAGGGTCTGAAACAAAACAAAACAAGGTCACCCAACATTTACAGGCAAAATCATTATCATTAAGGATGGAATTTGGACCAGTGCTCTCCTTCAGATCATCCTGGCCCTGGAAGCCATAAGCTGGGCTTATATGGGCTGATGCACAAAACAGGGAAGAAGCCTGGTGGGGAGGAGAGGTGGTGGAAACTTGGCAAGCCTGCCTTGCACAAAACAACCCCTGAAAGGTGCCCAGCCACACCCACAGAGTGCGCTCCTGGCTACCTTGTTTGGACAACTTAGGCCTCTCTTAGCCCTTCCTACAGACCCAAGATGGACCAAGTTCCTTATCCTAAAAACAGGGTGAAAGTAGGAGAGTGAGGTTTATGTGGGCAGAGTGGGATAGGGCGGTAGCTGCGAGCAGGACTCTCTCATCACATAGTTTCATGCCAGGAAACAGTCAGTGTACTGAGAACAATGGCACAGATGCCCAGGGACCAAAGATGAGACGGGCAGAGAATGCACTCGCTCCTGGGGCCTCTTTATTATCAGTGTTGTGAGCTGTCCACTACCCTGTTGTTTCTGTTCTCTTTACTGTTGTGACTGTCCTCTGTACTGTTGTTGTTTCGAGCTAAAACAATAGGGATGTTGCTACCTGCTTCCATTTCATGTCCACCTTAGGCACAAAGAAATCCATAAACTAAACACTACCTAGACCTTAGTTTTTTTTTCCTAACTGACTGAGGATTAGACCTTGTGATCCAAAGAGTACACATCAGCTCATTTTTAGAGGTAGATGGCCAAGACCTTTCATCCTAGGCCTTCTGTATCTAGCAGCTCCACTGAAATTTATTCGGAATCACAGCAGCACCAGAAAACTTCCACTGCAGATAAAAAATGACCGCACAGGAGAATCAACATAAAGCCTGGCTGAGAAACCGGCCCAGTTTCACACACAGATGTCCTCATTTTTTCTAGACAGGGTTTAAAATGCAACCAAGAGGAACCCAATCAGTGCTCTTTCCAGAAACCAGCAAAGCCCCCAGAGTGTTCTGTGAATGATCTGTGTCTTTTTCTTTCCAAGCTAACTGTACAGAGCCACTCACTGAATTAGCATAAGAAGACAACACTGAAGAAGAAATGATCTCTCTCCACATACAAACTCTCTATGTAAATACTTTGCTCAAAGAAAGTCTAGGAGTTTTTCTTTATCAATATAGTTAAGAGTCGGGAGATGGAGAAAACTGGGCTTCAAACAGGTCACAACGCAATGCCCTAAATCGATGCATGTGATACAGCAGCCACTCAGGACTTGAAATGTGACAAGTCTCAGATCAGACATGCTGCAAATATCAAATCCACAAAGAATTTCAAAGGGAGCTCTGGAGGCCTCGTCGATGAGGAGAGGCGCTGTCAACCCACAGGCGTGTGGGTTTGAATCCCCCAGCTGCTTCATGGGAGCAAGATAGCCAATTTCCTCCCCTGTGATTTACAGTCTTAGGAAACTCACTAGACAGGAAGCTATGAGTCAGTTCTGACTCAACAGCAAGGAGGTAGATTTGTTGATTTAAAAAAAAAAAAAAGAAATGCAAAATGTCCCCACTACTTTATATAGGATGTATGTTGAGATGGCATGATTGTCATGCACTGATTTCACTGACATGTTATTCAAATTTTTCTCAGCTCTTTTTTTTTTCTTTCCTGATGGTTTAGCAGTAAGGAGTTGAACAGCTAACCCAAAGGCAGGTGGTTCGTGTCCACTAGCTGCACCAGGAGAGAAAGATGGGCAATGTCTTCTCATGTGATTTATGGCGTCAGGAAACCTTCTGGAGGGTCAACTCTGGATCAGTTCTGACTCGATGGCACCTAACAACAATTCCATGTAGCTCACATTACATTTCCATTGAAGAGCACCTGCCGCTCTCTATAGAACATGTTTTGGCAAACTCTTATGGAAATTACAGCAGCGGCCACTTGGGGGCACTATCCCCAAGTCTAACTGTGAGCTATTTAAACGAGTTTCCCAGCCAGCACTTAATTCAAAGTTTCTATCAGCTGCTGGATTTCTGGGGAGCTCTGGTAGCCTAATGATAAGAAACTGCGTTGCAATCCCAAAGGCACACAGTTCTAATCCACCAGCTCTTCTCGTGCGATTTACTGCCTCTGAAAACCCACTGGAGGAGGGTCAACTTATGAGTTGGTTCTGACTTGACTGCACAGAACAAACACTGGATTCCCAGATGATGTACTTGACAGCTAAGGAAAGGTTAGTGGTTCAAGTTCACTGAGACACACCTCTAAGAAAAGTCTGGGAAGCTATTATCCAAAACACAAGCCACTGTTTTTCTCTGACACTCGAGTTGCACAAGGTTGACATGAATCAGAAATGACTCATTGTCAACCTATTTTACATTGTCTGTCAGCTGGCCAGAGATGGGTCCACTGCCACCCACTCCAAGGTGGCCAGCCATATGCTTGTTCACTCCCACCTCCAAACCTTGAAAATAGTCCTATCCATTCCTGTTCATACTACCACCCTCCCTCTCCAAAATATTCTTTCTCTCTTCTCTCACCTCTTCTCTCTCGGCTTTTCTCTACTTGTCAGGGACTTGTCTGCCTTCCTCACCATATAGTATCCCTTACTCCAGTGCACACTAAGCACTCAACAAATGTCGCTAAAAGTTGCTAAAAATCACTCAGCTCTTCCTCATCTCTCCATCCTTCCAATACTGCCCACCTCTCACAGAGAAGGAGCAACTCCACTTTGATGTGACTTGTGTACTGCACTGAAGCAGAGGAGGGAGAGAACCGTCTAAAAGAGAGATGTAACTGGGTATTTCTGTCATCACAGGAGACTAGAGTGAGGGCTGCATGGTGGAGGGGACCTGGGGGAGGGTTTGTAAAACAATGAAAGAATCTTTTCTTTTACTTTTCCATAATTTTTGGACTCATGTACTTATAACTTGTTAGTCAAATTTGTGTCTTCTAGGTTGCAACAGCCCCATGATACATCTTGAAGGATATGTACATGTACAGCCAAGCACAATCAATAAGAGTGCATCTAAATTCCAAAATCAATCTCCATAATAGTCTATGTGTTTCCTACTGCCAAAGGGGCCCTTTAGAGTAGTGAGAGAAGATCTTCACCCTGAAACCCACAGCGTCCCTTTTCAGCAGGAAGTAGCTAAGAGAATACGCCGTCCCCTTTTCCTTATGACTCAGGGTGAAGTCTCTCTCAGGGAGGAGTGATAGGGAATGGCAAAGGATACACTGACAAAGAAGATTAATCAGAACTGGCTTTGACAAGCACTGTGGCATTTGGACAAGAACAAACTGTGAGGAGGGTAGAGAGAATAGTGCAACAATGAATGAGTGGAAGCCCAAAATCTCTGTAAATGTTTATGAAAATTAATAAAATATAATTATAGAAAAAAAAATTCATCTGGAGAGAGAGAGAGCTCTGGATCAGAGTGAGAGAATCGCTGAACTGAATGCCATGTCGTCCTCACCAACAATACCACACGGTTTCGCTTCAGAAACAAGAAGCTCTTGTTCCATGCCAGGCACTGTGCTCGGTCCTGGAGACAATCAAACACAGAATAAGACTCCTTGATTTCTATGCAGTGAGGAACTGACATAATAAAATAGACAGCTATCAAAAAGTACAAGCATATCTCATCATATTGTATTTCGCTTTATTGCAACCTTGCATCAAACAAGTCTACTGGGTGCCATTCTTCCAACAGCATGTCTGTAATTCTCATGCTATTTCAATTTTTTTTTCATAAGGCTGGTGGCTTAGTGGTAAGGAGTTATGCTTCCAACCCAAAGGCAGGTAGTTTGAATCTACCAATTCCTCCACAGGAGAAAGATAGGCAATCTTCTCTCTTGTGATTTACTGCCTCTAAAAGTCCACGCTCTATGTCTGTCCTGACTCGATAATACATAATAATAACAACAACAATGTATATTTCACACTTAATAGACAGCAAGCATTATTGTATAAGCATAATTGTTAGAGGTCCTTGCAAACAAAACAATTCCTGTGACATGCTGTATTGTAATATTCTTCAGTGGTCCAGAACCAAACTCACAACATCCGCGAAGGATGCCTGTTATAGAAAACTCTCATCATTCTTATGTGGAGGGAGCTGCAGAAACTCAAAGCTGCTGCCCTCTACAGCTCTACAACTCCTAAGAGGCCCATGCACATTGTAGATTATACAACTGCTGTCCCCTGGAATTGCACAGTGCGCAACCTGAGCTGCCGTACCTGGCAATTCTGAAGTGATCTTCCATATCCCTTACTTCTGCTGATTCTCACCAACACGGCTTGGAAGGAGGAGAACATAACTAAAGCACAAAAAAGTCCAAGTAGTCTGCCAAGCTTGCAGACAAAGGCAGAACTGGGGGTGAAATCAGGTCTGCTTAAATCAAAGTCCATGTTCACAAACACCTCTTCTGCTTTCTAGGTCAATGTTCCCAAAGAAAGAGGCCTTTCTTTTCTTCCTATCACAATTACTAATCCTTTAGGAACTGACCTATTATTTGGAAATATTATTTTGGAAATAGGTCTGATGGTCGAAAGAAAACATACCTAGCACCCAAAGGGATAGAGACCCCCATTAAGTTGATCCAAAGCAGCATCTCTTTGCAGACAATGGGAGGACAAGACAACTACAGATGAAGAAAAGATGTGGGAAGCAGTTTTTTCCCAAATATACTTTTTTCCAAGTACACACACAAAAAAACGAGTGGGAGAGAAACATTACAGAAATCAACTATGCCAGGAAAACAATAAAAAAACAAAATGGGGAGGGGATAACCAAAACAACAAACAAATCACAAAAGTAAGGCTCTGTTGCTCCACCAAACAGCTTGGGAATTTGTAAAAACTATGGAATCTTAACCAAGTGTCTAATAATAAGAAGAAAGTGTTGTTCCTTCTTGAGGTCTGATTACAATATTGTGACTCTGTTTAAATGATATACTGATAGAGACTAGCTTCAAAGTGATCCAATTAGGACTGAAGAAGAGGTACACAGGATGAGATTAGCCAACTACTGGTAACTCCAACTGGGTGAGGGTGGTTAGATAGGTTTTATTATACCCGCCTCTATTTTTTAATCTATTTGAACATGTTTCTAAAACACATAGTGTATGTTTAAACTTTTTTTTAAAGCAGAGCACTCACTACATAAAAGACAATGTGGTCGTTATTCTACAAAGTTAAAAAATGTTTTTGAATTTATTTTTTAAGTGTCTTCTTATTCTAGGTTTGTTTTTGTTTTTTTTTAAAAAAATACTTTTATGGAATAGGTTATCAGTCTGTGCCAATTAAAATATATGTTCTAGGGGAAATTTAGAGATGGGGAAACCAATCAACTTTTTAGGGCACACTTGCAGACATCCTGGGTGAGCCTCTGCTCAGGTACCCAGCGTATCACCCACCTGTGATGCTAGTGGTGCAGAGGTTTGGGGTGGAGGATCCATTCATTCCACAGGACAAAGTGGTGATGCTGATGTTGTACGAGGTAGAAAAATTTAAATACGTGACTTCTGTCCTGTATATTTTGTCCACAGTGTCGTTGTCTGAGGAGCAGCCCTCCAAGTATGTTTCGTTGTAAAAGGCCTCACCGCTGACCTCCAGCGAGAAGCCAGCATTGACGCCATCAGGGCAGGCATACACGAGAACCAAGGTTGGCTCTTTGGGGACCATCTCACAGCGGAAGTCCACAGGTGCAGCATCTGCAGAGCGAGCATGGGACAGTGTGAGAATGGCAAACTCTTGCCTTTGTAGACACAAAAACATTGGGAGTAGCAGAATACTGGCCCAACCATGACGAGCAGTCAGAGATGAACAACTGTGTGAACTTAGGTCAAAGAGGTGCCCAGCGTGAAGCACTCGACGACCAGCAGAAAGGTTAACAGTTCAAATGAGTGCACAAGCACCTCAGAAGACAGATCTGGTGATCTGCTTCCCAAAGATCACAGTCTTGGAAACGCCAGAGCACACAATTCCACTCTGTTCTCAAGGCCACCACGAATCTAATCGACTATACAGCAACTGACCACCACACCCTTCCACCACTCAGAGTCAGTTACGCAAACGCGCTGAGCCCTGACTGCAGGGCTCTCTGGGGATTGAATGAAAGAGTGTGCGTCAATCATCAAGCAAGACACTGGACAAACACAGGCACTCCGTTCGCAGAAGCTGATCCTATGGCGAGTGGTAGCAATTCCTTCACCTGGCTCACCTCAACCAACCTTCCAATAGGTAGTATTGTCATATGGTCATATGGTCATATAGTCCCATTCTGAAGATGTCAACTGATGCTGCAAGAGTGTATCCGTTTCCTATGTATCGACTCCATCTGTCATTGACTTACAGTAGCAGAAATGTACTGGTCCCTATTTAACTCCCAGATTTTAACAAAGGCCAACATCAAACCAATGTGGAAATGTTCAATAAAGACTCTGACAATCAGAACAGGGAACACCTCAAAAGCACCTTCTGTTAAAAATGGGAGTCACCTCTTTACAACACTTTTGGTATTATGAAGTTGGCAAAATCAAGAAGGGCAAAAGAGTTGAGCACTCATTTTAACAGTATGGTTTCCATCTTCAAACATGCCAAACTATAAACTACAAGGCCCAACAGCACCCGTGTTACCTCTCTGGTCTCTCCATCTACCCTTTCTCCTCTTGCTTCTACAGAGCCACTACCGGCATCATGACCTCCCTTCTTCCAACACAGCGGGCACACGCCAGCCTCAGGACCTTTGCACTGGCTGCTCCCTCACGGTGAAATGCTCTGTAACCTGATGTCTACATGGCTGGTTCTTCTAAGGCTTTAAGGTCTTTGCCCCATAATTGCTTTTTCATTGAAGCCTTTGCTGGACCTCTAGCTAAGTATTCCCTTTGCCCTTTCCTGCTGTCTGTCTTCTTCCTTAGTACTAATTATCATCTAATAAACTACTTCTTTATCTTGTTTAGCCTCTGTCTTCTATCACCAGAATAGAAGTTCCAGGAGGCCATGGAAATGTCAGCTTCACTTAACAGTATCTGGCACATTGCTATTGTTATGTGTCATCGAGTCACTTGAGACTCATGGTGACCCTATATACAACAGCCCTAAACCCTGCTCATTGTCTCTGACACACCCACCTTCATTACTCCAGTCACTGAGGGCCTTTCCCTCCTGCGCTGTCCCTCCACCCTCCCCAGCATGATGTCCTTCTCCAAGGACCGGTCTCTCCTTACAACATGACCAAAGTATGTCAGACGAAGCCTCAGAATCCTTGCCTCCAACGAGCCGCCTGGTTTAACCCTCTCTAGGATGAATCTGTTTGTTTTCGTAGCAGTCCATGCATGGTACATTCAATACTCTTCTCCAGCACCATAGCTCAAGCTCAAAGGCATCAATTCTCCTTCTATCATCCCTAGTCACTGTCCAGCTCTCTGATGCATAGCAAGTGATTGCAAAGACCACAGCCTGTATCGGGCACACCTTAGTCTCCAGAGTGACATAATTGCTCTTCAGTACTTTTTTTCTGGCACATACATATAGTAAATGCTCAATAAATATCTGTTGAATGAAAAGATGATAAGGGGACTAATATGCAACCAGGATGTCTCAGAAAGCATAAGACCAATTAGTACAAGCACACAAAACCCAGTAACTAAAGACTGCACAGGTCTTGTTCTCAAGGTCAAAAGTACAAGGGAAGGAGGCCAACAGATACCTGAGCTATTCACTCACCTGTACAGAATGGCATGAAGCTAGGCGCTCCCTCAGTGATATTCCCAGCTCGTGCAAAGATCTGTACGGTGTAAGATGACCCAGGTATTAACCCAGTAACTGTGGCATTAGTGACCCCAGCGTCCGTGATGATTTCTATCTGAGTGCTGGAATGGCTGTCAATACGAAGGCGGTATGTGTACGCAGACGGGGCATTATCAAAGCTCTGCCAGCTCAAGACTGCTGCTGTGGTGTTGGGACTTATTTCAATGTTGGACACACTGCTGGGCCCTGTGTTTAAAAAAGAAGAAGGGTGAATTAGCCTGACTTCCAGGACTATTTGATTCACTGCAGCCAAAAACATTCTGGCTCCTATAGAGAAAGAATGAATAAAACGAGTATTTCTTGTCTCCTAGGATGGAAAGCTTCCTAACTGACATCCAGAAAATAATGATACAGATGATCCTGAGAGAATTCAAGTTCTGTCTCATTTATTTGAGAACTTTCGGTTATCCAAAATCTATTCATGTTGTTGTTATGTGCCGT